ACCTCGCAGCAGAAGTGTGCAATTTTTATAAAAGTGAACTGGTATCACTGCAACCGAAAGTATTGCACTATAGTGATGTGTGCCACAACTCTAGCTATCGATAAGTTAATTAACCGTGCGGGCTTGTCTGCTGAACCGGTTTGAAGTTTTTATTTAGATTTTATAATAAAGTATATATCCTCTCAATTGCGGATGTCCAAGACTTGGACACGAAAATATCTCCGTTGACTGCGGGCGTCCAAGTGTTAGACATTTTTTACCCGCTCTTTTAATGAAGAAACAAAGCATTATGCGCTATTTCTAACTCATTCTACCATATGTCAATGTGCACAGGATAAAAAAGGCTAGCATAAAAACCCCACAGCTTATACACTTTAGTAGTATATTTTATTTAAATCATTCTTAAATGTCGTCCGTTCCTTGAATCAGCCATTAATGTGATTGACGCGCGCTAACAACGAAGTTGTTTGTAATTATTTTGTATTAATTTATATTTATTGTGTGGTGAATTGTGTTAAAACAATGCCTGGGTAAGTAATCTTCTTATTTGTAATCTCATTTTGTGTTTTATCTTATTAAGTACGTGTAAAATCGTTTTTTAATATGTATGAAGCAAACAGCTATCTTAAAACTAACATGCTGGTTGAGGGAAGTTGACTTAAAATGTACGTAAAATTTTATTGTTGACTGTCAGTTTTGTGTTAAAATATGTATAATTGTTCATCGTTCACAGTTTTAGTACATCAAAATGTGGATAAAGTGCAATATTTTTAAAATTTTAATGTATATACGCAATAGGTGCAATAGTGTCCATTTTTGAGACGTCCGTAGAAGTGAATTAGTCTAAGAATTAGTGTACTAGTTCTCTGTTTTGCGGGTGGCGAAAAAAGGAACTAAAGTTTGCCATACTGCATCAAGTTCAAATTCGTTTGAATTGTTAGCTCCGCAGTCAACGGAGAATTACGGATAGAGTCTCCGCAGCTGAAAGGATATTACAAAAAGTAGTAAATTTTTCTATTATTGGTTTGTTTTTACAGATTTCCAAGAGATCCTCTTAGGCGGCAAACTTGGATTGCTGCTTGTAGAAATCATAACTCTTGGATACCTAAACGGACTGGCACCATTTGCTCCGAACATTTTGAAAAATCATGTTTCATACCCCAAACTAACAATAAAAAAAGGTTAGCCGACACTGCAGTACCAACCTTGAACTTGTGGGAGGTAATGTTTGGCTGTAATTACATTTAGACTAAATATTGTTACTATTATCCTTGACACCCATATTATTCTACTTGAAAATACATATTTTGGAATTTCGATAAGTTTATAAAAGCATTAATATGTCAAATTCAATTTATATATATATAAAAATATATATATATATATATATATATCGCTTGAATTTTCAAACTTACATAAGTAAATTATTTATTTTAGGCTGATCGTAGTGGTTGTACAACATCGAAAAAAAGAAAGCTGAATGTTCCGGAAACTTTCATATATAGCCCCAATATTCCTTTTATAACCCCAACTAGTCCTACTCCCACTGTAAGTACGAGCCAACACTTGGAAGATACGCCCAGGAAAATTGAACTGAAAAAATGCCTTGACATTAAAAACCATAGCATAAAAAGACTTCAATCGCAGAAACGGTATTTAAAGAAAAAAGTTACAAATTTGCAAGAAATACTAGATTCGCTAACCTCCTCCTCTTTGATTAATAAAGAAAACAAACAGGTCCTAGAAAAGATAGGAATTGAAGAAAGTGAACTCTTAAAGAGACAATTACTTAAAAGTAAGACTGGAAAACCACCCAGAACGAAATATTCCTCAGAATTAAGATGTTTTGCCCTAACACTTAATTATTACTCACCAAAAGCCTATCGCTATGTACGTAAAACTTTTGAAACATGTTTGCCTGCACCACGAACATTGACTAAGTGATACAGTACTATCGATGGCCGACCACGGTTTACTCAAGAAGCGCTAACGGCATTAAAATTGAGAGCGGAGAGTAACCGTGATAAAAAAATTATTGTACTTTGGTCATGGATGAAATGAAAATTAAGCAATTGACGGAATACCATGCTAGCAGCCAAAAGCATTATGGCTATGTCGATTACGGGTTTGATTTTATATCCAACAATTCTGATGAAGCTACTGACGCATTCGTTTTTTTATTGGTCGGTATAAACACAACATGGAAAGTACCCATAGCCAACTTTTTGATTAAGGGTACGAGCGCTGAATTAAAAGCACGGCTAGTAACACAAGCTTTCTATCTTGTTCATGAAACTGGCATCGAAATAAAAGCGTTGACATGTGATGGTACAAAAACGAACTTCTTCATGGTGGAAGAGTTGGGCTGCTCCTGAACCCAGATCGACTGCAAACTACTATCTTAGATCCAGCTTCAGGGCAACAAATATACTTTTTTCTTGATCCTTGCCATATGCTTAAATTAGTACGCAATTCATTTCAACTTTATGGAAGTTTTTTTCAAAACACAAATCAAATTCAGTGGTCATACATCCAAAAACTTCAAAAGTTACAGGAAGAAGAATTATTTTATATGGCTAATAAAATGAAAGCAAATCATATATATTTCAAAACGAAAATCATGAATGTCCGCCTTGCGGCCCAACTTTTTAGCAGAAGTGTTGCTGATGCATTGCTGTTTTGCGAAAATGTAATGAAATTACCTATGTTCGAAGGAGTTACTCCAACAGCTGATTTCCTGAAATTAATCAATGATGTTTTCGATATTTTAGACTCAAAAACATGGTCTAATGGATACAAACAGGCATTAAACGTAAAGAATTATGAAAAAGCATTTACCAGGCTAGATGAAGCTAAATCGGTACTCATGAATTTAGAGACTAACATTATTAGTCGTAATAACGTGACTAAACGCATGAATATTCTAAAATCTCCTCGATACACAGGTTTTCTTGGCTTTTGCGTATGTATTGAGAGTGCAAAAGGTTTATTTGAAAACTTAATATTAAGACCGAATGCTGCACTAACTTATTTACCCCTTCAAAAAAGTCAAGACCACATAGAGATTTTATTTTCTATTATCAGAAGCCACGGTGGTTATTCTGACAATCCAACTGCACGTCAATTTCAAGCTATTTATAAAAAGCTGTTAGTGCACACTGAATTGATCCGAAATGAAAGAGGTACTAATTGCATTCCTTTAGAAAAAAATTCAAATTTAAATTGTACATCAGCAATTGACAAATTCAATAGCACTTCTCGACAAAGAAAGACGAAGTCGGAGGATATTGCAGTACTTGCCACAGATAACAAAAATACTGAAAAAAGTATGATGGATGAAATAGAAACCTACACATATTTATCCCCTTTTGGCGAAAAAGTGGTGGAATACATTGCAGGGTTTGTCGTTTTCTCAAGCTTAAAAAAATTAAATGTGAAACATGCACTAAAGCCCTCTTAGGTCAGACTAATGTAAAAAGTCTGACTTATCAAAAATCTAGGGGAGGCTTAATGTACGCATCCCAAGAAGTTATTGATTTATGTCGCCGGTGCGAGATAGAAATACTTAGCCCTAGGTATATGTCAAGTTTTATTTTTAAGCAGCTGTCTGTTTAAAGTTCACTTTGTTCATCTATTATATTTTGTAAAACTTCTTTATTTTTCTAATTTATTAAATATTTTCCAGATAGTTCACTTAATAACTCTTGAAAATCCAACGACTTTTTTAAATAGTGGTTTTGTGATTGAAGCCTTATAATAAAAACAAAAACTTGGTTAACACCATCTAAGACGATAAACTGATACGACTTTTCTTTTTACAAATCTGATTTTTAAAATAAGTTAGCTAAACCTCCCATTTCGATTTGTTACATGTTTTAAGTTTTATCCTGCATAATTTAAAATAAACCTGTAGCAAAATAATAAACTTACTTTTAACAATTTCGAAGTTTTTTTTCCGGAGATCATTTTTAAATATTAAAAAAAAATTCAAATAACACCTTGGCATTAATTATCTGCTGTATTACTTATAATCAAATAAAAATATATGGCGATTTGTTTATCGATAAAAAATATCGACATAGTCCACGGCCTACGTTGCTTACGCATTTGTACAGCGTCACCAGTGTGTCGACACGTGTACAATTTGGTGGCATGCGTAAATTCAATGAACACAAACACAAATGTTGTAGTCTGCGTTTATATTGACGCGGTTTAATTTTGCGTTTGTAGTTATGTATACAGTTGTGTGTTTATCTTGCGCCCCCCTGACCCCCCCTGACCCCCCCTGACATTGACAGAATTTTTGTTTAGGAATTAACGCTCATGGCCTTTCCGGGGTTCTACATATTTATTTATCTATGGTTGGTTGAATACTCAAAGATCAAAAAGTTATGAGTAAAATATTTAGATGAGCCTATCCATAGAGGAAAGTAATATATCGTACAGACCTATCCTTCCTTTTGAAATCATTGTGTGGATGTGAAGTGGTATATACTTTGGTAATGAGTATATAAATCACTACGTTCACCCCTCAAAATGAGTTCTAGTTTGTATGAATCGCTGAATCTTACAAAACAATCTCAATGGAAAGTCGAGAAGCATGTAACATGTTTACATTAAAATTCAGTGCTGGGTCACTGCCATTCTTATAAGCTGGCATTATGTTATCTATTATCTTTTAAGTTGAGGACACAAGCAGCAGACACAAGTATATCTGTGTGTATTTATCTATCACTCATAAATGTTATTGCTATGACTTAGATAAGAGTAGGATAAGTGTGTGAATAATAGGAGGTTAGTACAATTTCAAATTTCAATACACAATAATATTGAATAAGTAATTATTAAGTAGTATTTAAGTATTGAGTACAATTTGTATATTATTATTCTCTCTTTGATTACTATCACTTCTAATTACTCCACATTCCTATATATCTTAATTTGTATTCTTTTATCTGATAATTCATTCACATAATATTTTAGACAGTAAATTCTTGAAAATGTGTAATGAAATTTATTTCATCGGAGTGGATGTGGGGTCAGGCAGTGTCAGGGCTGCCCTGGTAGATCAAAATGGACATGTAATGCAAACATCTGTAAAGGAACTTCATACATGGAAACCAGCAGTTGATTTTTATGAACAATCGTCAAATAATATTTGGAATAGTTGTGAATTTGTCATAAGGGTTAGTGCATTTTTAGTTCACATTTCATCTATTACTGATTAATCATTTATTATATATTTGTAAACTCTTATAATGCAAGTTTTTCTTTAATATGATAAATTCTCACACACTCTACCTTATGGTAAGTGGTTGCTGCGGCCCATACACATCTACATCTATACTCAGTTACTGATCAAAATGCAGGTGCATTGTCACCCTAAGGACTATGGTGGAGTGCCTCATTTCTAGTAAAAAGGGTCTCCGGTTCTTTATCCTTGCCAAACAAGACACTGCAGCATTAAGCTGCCATTCCGTGCTGGTATTCTGTGAAAGCAATCCATTCATGCTACAACCATAATATAACTGCAGTGTGGCTCTACCACGTAAAAAAACTATATTTTGCAGCTTCTGTTTCCTTTTTAAGTGATAAGTTTCCACTTCATTTAATTTTAGAAATGGTGCATGTAAATGGTGCTAAGGCTTCATTACTAGGTCATATTAAACAAAACTATTTGCAGTCTGTAGGTAAATTTTATGGTAATTGTCAACTAGGTGCTTATTATTGAAAAAAAAATTTATGCGTCATATTTTATTTTATTTACACTTATTAAAGGGTTGCCATTTTTTGTTAAATTAATATTGAATGTGTAGTAGGTGTGTAAAAATGTCATACCATGGGTCGTTGAGGCGACAGAGGAAAACAAACGACATGAGCTGCAACATCTTGTTAATAATAATTAAAGACATGAAATTTTGGTTGCCAACCTGGTCCTAGTTGCCAAATATTCTCTTTATGAGCCAATCTATAAGTGGAGTCTTTGTTTTAAGGGTATGGTAATGTTAATGGTAGTTAATATACTTTGTCATTACTCTATTTACAATATTTCAGAATGTGATTACAAATATTAAACCAGAGTGTGTAAGAGGCATTGGTTTTGATGCAACCTGTTCCCTAGTAGTTTTAGATAAGAATGGAAATCCAATATCAGTCAGCAATTCAAATAATGAAGAACAAAATGTAATAATGTGGATGGATCACAGAGCCCAAGCTGAAGCAGAATTCATAAACAATAAGGGCCATGAAATTCTTAAATATGTTGGAGGAAAGGTGAGCCTGGAAATGGAAATGCCAAAACTTCTCTGGCTGAAAAAAAATCTTTCACACAAATGGGCAGAATTTGGATATTTTTTCGATTTACCAGACTTTCTCACATGGAAAGCAACTGGATCGCAAAGTCGATCGCTATGTTCCCTTGTTTGCAAATGGAATTATGAGTGTTCTACTGATGGAAAAAAAGGATGGAATGAAAATTTTCTACATAGTATAGGCTTGGGAGAGTTAGTGGAGCATGACTACAAGAAAATTGGCAACCAAGTTTTGATGCCAGGAGAAAAATGTGGTGGATTGAAGCCTGATATTGCAAAATCCCTTGGTCTTGTTCCTGGCACTGCTGTAGCCACATCCATTATAGATGCACATGCTGGTGGTCTTGGAATGATTGGTACTAGTGGTGAAAGTATTGACAGAAACATGTCAACAAGATTTAGCTTGATATGTGGTACATCCACATGTCATATGGCTGTTAATAGGAACGCAGTTTTAGTTCAGGGTATTTGGGGTCCTTATTTCAGTGCAATGGTACCCAATATGTGGTTAAATGAGGCAGGACAAAGTGCATCTGGTATGTTATTAGACTATGTTATCTCTAGTCATCCAGCTGGAATTCGGTTGTTGAAGAAATATAACACTGGAGAGTGAGTTATTTGACATTTAAATAGAATTTTACTGTAAGTAGTGAATTTATGAGCTCAATGAAATCCATTGCTCTCCAGCTATGGATTTTATAAGGCTGCAGGATATATGCCTTGAAATGCAAGGCTAGGCGAGCATGTTGGTGAGAGCAATCCTCAAACCCTCACACTGCTAATGCTGGTCCCTCATCATTCATCTTTAAAAATTCTACCTAGCCATGTGCACCGCTTAGAGGAGTGGCAATTATTTGTGTGTAGTAATTATGTCCTCCAAACCGAATTTCGGTCACGGGGGCCAGCCTCACCTCTCAATAGAGACTAGGTATCTGTGTAGAAGAGGATTATAGTGCCCGAGTGTATGCACAAGCACAGGTGCACTCCCTATTTCCTAATTATCGTATTCCGATGGGATGGTAATCTGACACGACAGGAGAGGGACGCATCACCAACGACATTACATGCTTTCCGCCCTTTTTAACACCGCCAACTTCCTGACTCCGGGTTGCTACTACGAATTTCTTTTCATAAAAACCCAATAACTGATTTTGACCCAATGCGGGATTTGAACCCGTGACCTCAAGACATCAGCCGTCTTTTTAACCACTAGACTAAAGAGGCGGTCAAACAGAATTTTGTAAAAGTACTGTGACGTAATAAATTACAAACTTTAAGTTAGTTACGTATTAATAACAAACTTATTATTGTTCCCACCATGGCTAAGGCGAGTCCTATTTTCTGCTGTTTTGATAAATACGGCGCCATCGATCAAACGTGCAACCCCGTCGATACTTCGTTACGAATGCGCTTCGTCACGATTTAGAATTCAATTTAGTGTAATGTGATCACTAGCTTCCAATTTAGGTTCCTAATTAGATTTTCTAAAAATTGTATAAGCGCTTATTACATTATAAATTTTTAATACGTTTGATAGATGGCGCCGTATTTATCAAAACAGCAGAAAATAGGACTTGCCTTAGCCGTGGTGGATTTAACAATGGATATTAAAAAAAGAGAAAAGAGTACTTGTCATTAAGAAAAAAAAAACTGTCCAATATGAATATAATTATATATTTTTAGATTCTAAGCAGTTTTATTTTATAGCATAGGGTGACAAACTAGCACACAATCCACCTGATGGTAAGTGGTTGCTGCAGCCCATGGACATCTACATCTATCTCCGATTACAAATCAAAATGCAGATGCGTTGTCACCTGTGACGACAGTAAAAAGGTTCTCCGGTTCTCTACACTCGCCATACGAAACACAGCAACATTAAGCTACTATTTTACGCTGGTATTCTGTGAGAGCGTGGTCCTTCCTCGTTCGAGCCGACCCATTTGTGCTACAACTATACTACTAATATAACTGCAGCATGGCTCTACCACCTATAAAACAGTTTAATTATTTATTAAGTTTGGTATTCAAACATATTGAAAAAGAAGTGACGATATTTCGATAAAGTGTGAGTGCCAAAGAATGTTTGATGGTGACATTACGTTTTATAGCCACCGGAAATTAATATTAAGATTTAAAGTAGTGATCTCTGATATCAGAACCGCTTCTATCAAAACTTCAAGACATCCGCTTGTATCAAAGCGCGAGCGCCGCTGGTTGTTCTAAATTAAAGTTGTTCGTAACGACTATAAATCAATAGCACGCTACAGACTATAAACTATAAATTTCTAGCGCGATATTAAATACGCTATGTTATAGCGCGGTATTTATAAGAAAGCGTGTAGGAGGCCGGTAAGAGCGTTAAGTTTTACAGCACGTTATATCTCTTAGCACGTTACATAACATTTTCATTGGATAGATCGCGTGCTATATAAGAACATTATTTCGTAATAAGTCGCATTTTAGACTAAAAATAAAGCGTGAAAGAAAAACCAATGCACGTGTTTTCATACTTTTCAGGCTTACTACTTTCTATAATCCTAAAAATATTTTTAAGTTATGTACTATTTAAAATAGAATTAATTTTATTTTTATAATCGAAATAAAATTAATTTTTTATCATAATTGATGTAAACGTTATTTTAACCTTAATACAAATTATAAAACAAATAAAGGTGTATTTAAAAGTTTATTTATTGTATTTATAAAAATCAATTATTTACATACACAAAAGTGTATATAACACTTTTGTAACCATATTTTATTTATATTTAAAAAAATTAGTTAGGCTTCTTTTATCACAACTGTGTCCTTTGATCATTTATAAATATACAGTATACACTAACTAAATAACGTCTAACATTAAATTAGGCCGCGCGCGATGAATAGCGCGCTACGAGATCAAATTTGCGTCACACGTCCTCTCCCAACAGCGCTGCTGCTAGAACTAATTGGTAGGAGTGGTCGTTACAAAACGTAACTAGTTACTGAAACTATCTATTCACACAATAGCGGGTAGCGGGTTATTGCAGTGCAACGAAACCTTCTATTACAGTAGACGTTTTACTCAGTAACACGATTCACGTTTCACGAGCGATCAGTAACAAAACGTTTATTCGGCTATTTTCGCGACGCATCGGCGACGGCTTCGGCTGTTGAAGTAGAAAAAGCACATGAGTAAAGAAACCTACTCTTCACGCTGTGGTAGAAGTACCACCGGTCGTCGAGTGTCGAGTGAGCGCGGGTGCTTTTGCATTTGACCTATGACTCTATTCCCTTCGTATAGATGCGATATTAGAAATGAGAAAGTAAGTGTGCATGTTTTTAACAAAAATAGTTCAAATTCCGTAATTTAAGTGGCTTTGAACCGGTTTAAATTAGTCTTGTGTTTAAGTTTAATGACACGGTTCGTTTTTACTTTTTAGGCGCGTTTGTTAATATTTTTGTTTTCTTTTTGTGCAATAATAATAATAATATTTTTAGAAAAATAAGAACTCAATACAATTGTAAAGTATATATTAGTGTTAATAATAATAATTGTACAGTAATTAGTGTAAGTAACTAAGTGTAAAAGTAATACTAAAACTTTATGTGATAGTTATCAAAAATATATAACTTTATATGATAATTATTTGCTATAAAATCAAACTTGTATTCAGTATTTTATGCTGAACTTGTGGGTGAATTTATCATAATCATAATTATTAAATAAATCGTTTGCCGTTAAATATTTTCAAGTGATATTTTTATCAAACCGTGCGAAATGATTTAACAAATAAATAAATTTAACCATTAACACCATGTCTAATTCTATACGAAACGGTAACAAACAAGTTTTCTCGTGAAACGGACATCGTTTCATTCGCAACGTTTTTCAATTAAACACGTCGTGAAACACTCTATTGAAGCCGCTATTAAAATATAGTGTTTCAAAACCTTCTATTAATAGATAGAGTGTTTCAAAAGCCGCTATTCATATTCGATAGATAGTTTCGTTTCGTTACTCAAAAAAGCCGCTACTACCCACCGCTACTAATTGGCTAATTGCCGCTAGATATTAATACTTGATAGCGCCATACACAATACGCGTTATGTGTTATATAACTATAATATGGCGCTATTTGTTATATTAACGACCATTATTCTAAATCGTAACGTTGCGATTACACTGTCCTAAATTGTAAACAATTTAGGAAGTAGAGCGGTCGGGACCTCCAATTTGACTAAATCGGATCCTAACTGTGCTAACTACGATTGCACCTCCCTACTTCCTAATTAGATTTTCTAAAAATTGCATAATGTAATAAGCGCTTTAGGCCCTAACTTTTGATAAACATAGTAGGTATGTATTGCAAACATTTTTTTGAAGAAATATAATATTTAATTAATCGAAGTATCGGCCATATTTTTGATGAATATTTATTCCGTTTAAATGGAAGTGTTTTAATTCGTGAAATTCTCTGATTCTCTTAATGAGGATCTACTAATTTTAAAGGCGATTTTACCGTCCGTCACAACTACAGTTTAATAATAATAATGATGATAGTTAAAATTGATTACAATGATGGTTAATAAAGGAACGCTCATAGAGCCGCGGCCTGGAGGTCGTCAGGGCGTCTAGATTAAAGCGTACGAAAGCGAGCTTCTGCACGAACACTCGGTAACCCCTCGCATCCATCATCCCCACCAGCTGGCTTGATGCCGGCAGGGTCTACACAGATCTAGCAATTGACACCAGTCACGGGCGATGTTCGCTGCACACGATGGACAGCTAAAAAAAAAGAATTTAAGGGCGAATGGGAGAAAAGTTAATGGTATTGTGTATCGGGGTTGAATGCATCGCTTTTTTTCTGAGCTGGAGCTATCTATTGCCGTGTACCGAGCCAAACGATCAAAAAAATTTTGTGACCCCGAACCCGAACAGCTATGACGTGGAATATGCGGCTCCACGATTTACGGAGCACATCTCACACGTAGGTACTACTGTGGATAACCCAGTTGTGGTTTATTTAGACGATGTTGGAATAGTCGCCCATTAACTAGAGCAAATAAGAAGCACATTGGTAGAGGCGGTTATAGAAACGCGCATGACGTAGGTATCTAGAAAATCGGCCGCTACTTCCGCGTTTACCCCTATAAACTAGCGGAATCGCGGCTGTTATGAAGCTCTAAAAATCAGCCGTGACCTTTGCGATACTTCTCTTTTTTGGGCCGCATTGGCAGTCTGCTGACGCGATACTAGACAAAGTAGCGTCCTTCCTCCCAGCCTGGAGACTGATAAACTTCAGGTCGGGCAGCCAAGGATTGCGCGCACCGTCAGGATGCCGTTTGTTGCGATAATTTTCATTTTGTTCCTGCGGGACATATCGCAAAAACTGACGGTGCGCATAGTCGACCTAAAGCAGAGAATCTCTGCTTAGGAAAGCGGATTTAAGAATATACCGAGAGGTCATCTCTTCTAGAACGATCAGAAAAGGTTCGATAAATAATAGGAGCGACCAATGATATCGATCGGAACCTGACACTCAATAAGTTTTGAGATATACAAAAAGTATTCTAGATACTATTAATATTTATTTTACATCTTTTCAAAATATTCTCCATCATGCTCTCTACAAAGTTCCATTTGCCTAAAACAACTCTGAAAACACTTGCCAGTCTTGATCTGACAGGTCGGAAATCGCTTCTTCGTAGACATCCACGGCTTCTTTGACTCTTGGGAACAAAAAGAAATCACAAAGAGCTATGTCATGGCTGTACATGATTCCCCGAAGCCCGATTTTTGGTCTTTTCTCCCACACGGGAACTTGAAAAACTTTGGGTAATGCAACTGTAGTATACCATTAAGAGTTGTCTGACCTACAGATTTTCAGTATTGATGTCGACAAATGTCCGCTCCGCGAAAAAAAACTAGCCACCATCTTTTGCCAACGTCGCGAGATCTTTGCAGTTTTGTCGGTAACTGTCCTTCTGAGTAGTCCCATACCGATGATTGCCTTTTATTTTCCGGATCATATTGATAGATTCATGTCTCGTCACCAGTAACGATTTCTGAAACACGCCTAGATGCCCCGTTTTCAAAACGACACATTTCATGGCACCAATCCACACGAATCTGTTTTTCGCAAAAGAAATCCATCGACAACAAAGCTTGCTCACTCCAAAGTGTTGTTGTAAACTTAATTGCTCGGTTAAACCAAATTTAAAGAAAAGCGCGGAAAGCGTTGCAGGAAAATTAATAGAAATTTGTTGTTTTTTTTTAATGTTGAGCAATTAGCTTATGGAGTGAGACCCGGCTATAAAGTGTGGCAACTTTCCCTCTTCTATGATCAATCTATGGGGTAAGCCTATGTTTAGTAGTGGAGTGCGTTTGTTTGTTGCGTCTTCACACGCCCCAACGCGTTGTGAAATTTGGCACAGGAGTACTAGAGGGAGAAAAACATACTTTACATAATAAAGAAATTTAAAGTAGGCATTAGACGGCACTAGAGCCATTAAAGGAAAAAAAAAAAAAAAAGAGAAAACAACCAACCCCCCCGAAAACCGCCCCCCCCAAAAAAAAAAAAATAACTCACCAAAACCGCCAAATGCCTCTTGAACGCTGACAACCAAGGGTTAATTGTTTACTGGATCAAACGGAAATTGAAACCATTCGTTTATTATAGATTCGCTTCTTCTTAAATATGGCCGCCTGCATTGTTTAATATGCGTTATGGATCCACTTTGCTCGAATTTCTAGATTCAAGCTTTAAATAAATTGACACTAGATTGCTCTGCGCGATACATATTCAATTCTAAACAGGTTCATCCTTACGCCTCATTACATTTACATTACATTACAAACGAATCATTCTTAGCCGACTTCAAAAAAGGTTTACATTTGTGTCATAGTTTGTTTTTGTTTTTTTTGTAAGTATTTTACGCGATATCTTTCTATTGAGACCCGAATTTAAAGATTATTCTTTTAAATAAATGGATCCTTTCAGTAGTGGTCATAATTTATATGAAATTGCACAGCAGCGCAAGTGGCGAAAATATGGTCGATCATAGTCAGAATAGGTAGCTTACCTAAGCAACTTACTTACCCTTCCGCAATGTATTTTTTTTCTCTTATTGACAACCTTTAGTAACCACGGAAAATCTGCCGTGACGTAGGAAGGGAAAAAGATGCAAAGTAATGCCTACACTCGCGCGCACTGAGAACGTTTCATTTAGCTTGCGTGCGCGATTTATCTAATTAAAAAATTATTATGTAGGCTGTTAAAACGTCGGCAAGCAGTCAACATCAAAGGAGTGCAACTTCTGTACGTAGTACTATAATTTATTCTGTGACTAAGTCAACTCAAAACTTAAAAAAAATATGCTTTTAACACATTATGATTTCGTATATTTACGCGTGTAGTATTACACATGGAATACTTATACGGCTACTTCTGTCTGGTAGTCTGCAGTATGTCAACATGTTTAGGATCGTTCCAATCGCGGATGATTCGCGAGACTATTGAAATTAAAAGGTATCCTAATTTCAATAGAGAAGATGGCTGAGTGCTACCATCTCCTTGGGATCCCATAATCAATAAAATTAAATCCAAACCAAAGCATAATACTATAAGACTTCAAGATACTATAAGCTCGTTCTGCTTAGATCGTACCAAAAATTAATAATTAAAAGCTGAAAGTAGCCTTCGCCTATGACACCAAGACGTCAAACACCTCAGTCCCCCTCGTTACCATGGGTGCTGTAAAGTCCTCGAAACGTCGGAAATTAAAAAAGTTAAAATTAAACGCGATAAAATCCCTACAATTAGTTTTATTCGATTTTAACACATTCTTTGAAGTCGGCTTTTACTTTTTTGTTAAAAGTTATTACAAACAAAAACTAAGGAAACTTGTTAGATCTGTACTGAAACAACAGCAAATTTATATTTGGAGTTGACATCTAAGAAGAATGAAGATATTGTCCAATATTCACTTTTTGTACTTCTTTGAGAAAAATGTTTATTGTTATTAGCTGAGTGAAAAAAATAAAAATGAAAAGAGTCATAAATTTTCTCTTGGCTTTTATTGGTTCGAAATAATTGTGTACTCATTTCGTATTTCAGAGTGCGTAATCATTTGCGAGAATTATTAGCAAAAATAGCGAAACGACAACAACTCAACGATGTGTGCTTTCTGACCAAAGATTTTCACATTTGGCCCGATTTTCATGGAAACAGGTCGCCGTTAGCAGATCCTTCTTTAAAAGGGATGATTTGCGGACTTACGATCAATGATAGTGAAGAAAACCTGGCTTTATGCTATTTAGCAACATTACAGGCTTTGTCGGTAAGGAATTTATTGAATTTGTGAGGCTTTTTTTAATTTTATAATAAGAAGCAGGATGATTTTCGTGTCATTGATATATGGTTAAACCCTCGGTCTCGGTGTTATGAAACCCAGGTGCTCCGGCGACGCACTTTAGACTTCTTAGTCTTGACTGAAATCTTTTACAGTGTTCCTGTTATTAACATGGCAGTACATTCTGTTAATAATAGGAACAGGCATGAACAAGTTATAACAACTTTTCGACCCCCAAATAGTCCGTGATTCCTTCACGGGACAATGTATATGCTTTTACAACAAAGTACCATAAAATATATCTATTATTTTTTTTACATTTTATTAAACAAAAGGTGTATAAAATGGGCAAATTATAATACATAATTGATGATAATCCCCTAGAAATTCTGTGAATGCTACCATGCTGTTTCCAAATGGTTTATATTAAATTGTACAACATACTCGTACATTTTCAATTATTATTAAAAATGTTCTTCTGGGTTTCTTGTTGGATCTTCACAGGACAAGGGTTTTCGGAACCAGTGTTAAATTACGTATCTATAAAAAAATATTGCATTTCGGTCTAAAAAATGCACGCAAAATGCAGATGAATAAATGAATAAGGAAATAATGTTTTATTGTTTTTGGCTTTATTGTCTCATTTAATTCTAAATTCAAAAACATTTGTTAACAGCTCTAGTGCATTCATTTTTTAAAATTTGTTTATCTTAAACTTTTGTTGCTCAGGCGTGCATTGTTCAGATTATTTAGACGGATAATCTTAATCAGTACCGTAATCTTTTTTTAATGGAAGAGGGTGGATGCAAACGAGTATGCGGCTCACCTGATGGTAAGTGACTACCGCCGCCTATAAACAACCACAACACCAGGGGAATTGCTGGTGCGTTGTCGGCCTTTTAGAAAAGAGTACTCTTTTCTTGAAGGTCCCTAAGTCGTATCGGTCCGAAAAAATCACCGGTGCTAAACAATTCTGTAGGAAAGTTATATGAGGAAGAAAACTCCTAGTAAAACACACAGTGGTAGACCGACAAGCATCCAGATGCAATGTACCATTCTTGTGAAATTTGGTGGCTGGAATTAATCCGAACAATTCCTCAGAGCACTTCCCGTGGTAAATGCAAAGGGAATTTCTCGGGAAGCCTATAAGAAGGGAGCTTCAAAAGTAGCGCTTTGTGCCAGACCCGATCGAAGGCCTTCGCTATGTCCAAACTAACGGCCAATGCCTCCCCGTTGGACTATTGCATCCGCCTATTGTGAGTCAGGTAGACCAGAAGATCACCAGCTGATCGACCACGACGAAAACCGTATTGGCGATCACTAATAAGCTGTTGATCCTCAAGGTACCTCATGAGCTGGCAGCTTATAATGGACTCCATTATTTTCGAGAATAAGGAGGTGATGGCGATGGACGGATCCGAGCCGTCCCCTTTTTTTAGGGATCGGGTGGACCAAAGCTGTCTTGTTATCTATCGATTGAATTAAACTATTTTAACATGCTTTTATTAGCTTTGCATGTATCTTATCTATCTATGTAACGGAATCTGTTACTGTAATTTTCACCAACTTGTAGACTGCCTATTCACTTGAAAATATGGTTCAAAATTTGAACCGATGACAATACTCTAATAACTTTGTCCTAGTATCCTGGTGATCCTGTTATCTTTTTTACGTTTTATGTTAGCGTGACCTGTATGTATCTATGTATATATAATTGTAATGGAATTTTTAATTTAGCTTTCACCCACTTCCAGGCGTCAGAATAACAAAAAATTTTGCAGACGTATTAAAATCCAATGACAATACATTAATTTTTAATGACTATGACCCAGTGTTTTCACTAGAATCATCACAGTTCATGATCAAAACGTGTCGTTTAAGTTTTTTGAACACTAATATTATTTTATTTCAGTACGGTACGCGCCATATAATGGATGCGCTCATATTGGCAGGATATAAACCATTTAAATCACTGCTCATCTGTGGAGGTATATCAAAAGATCCACTTTTTGTACAAACACAAGCTGATACCGTGGGCTTGCCAATACTGAAGCCGCATGAGACCGAGTCAGTTCTTCTCGGTTCTGCAATCTTAGGAGCATGCGCTTCGCAGTATTTCAATAATGTTCAACATGCAATCGAACATATGGGAGGTACTGCCGATGTGGTGCGTCCAAATTTAAATACAAAGTTGTTCCATGATAAGAAATATAAGGTGTTTTTAAATATGTTCCAGGACCAATTGAAGTACAGAGCAATTATGAATTAGTTACATTTCTTTATTGATGAACTTGATTTTATATTTTTTTAATAGTTTATTTTTAATATTTTATATAGTTCAATGTTATTTCATAATAAATATATGATTTATAATATCTATGGTATTCTTTTTTCTGAAGTGTTCTTTATCTTATTTTTACAAAATTTATATTCTTACTAGCTAAAAACGGTCTTTAATAACAAATTGTCATAGTCAATAAATCGAGTTTGACTGCATGAACTCTTTATTTATTTTGTACCTAAATATGCACAAAAGACGAATAACACGAAGTTCCAAATTCATGCTTAAATTATTTTCTTTCCAACACTTTAAGTGGTAAAATACACAGCAGCTATGGTGTTATGGCAACCGCAGTTTATTTTTCTGTAGTTATTTGTAAGACGTTGCAGCCCTATTAACTTATGGACGCCACACACGGACAGCTAAAATATCAGTTGAACTGACGTACATCCAAAAACTGACCGTGAGTGTGGAATCTTAAGTTGAAATTTCGACTGACGACAACCCATGGTTGCACTGTTAGTTGAAACTGCTCAGTCGAACTAACGTAAATCCAAAAACTGATCGTGAGTGCGAAATCTTATGGACGCCACACACGGTAAATTAAAATGATCAGTTGAACTGACGTACATCCAAAAACTGACCGTGAGTGTGGAATCTTAAGTTGAAATTTTCAACTGACGACAACTCACGGATTTTTTCGGCCGCACTTTCGGTTGAAACCGCTCGGTCGAACTGACGTAAATCCAAAAACTGATCGTGAGTGCGAAATCTTAAGTTGAAATTTTTAACTCTCCACGGAGTTTTCCGGGCGAGTCGTAATCCGCTGGCTTCAATTCGTTTTAATTAGTGATAAGTCCTGCTTTCTTATTAGCTACATACATAATTTCTATGCTATTTAGATTTCCTATTATTTTATTTATTTAGAGAATTTCGTTTGACGAAGGATGAAGACTAAGGTGACTGTGATGATGTCACTTTCCTTATGATTGTCTCAGAAGATGGGTGAAGGATCTTAGTGATGCTACGTACCATCGTGTTTTTTTTTTCAACTTATTTTCAAAAAGGTTCATGAAGACCTAGATGACTATGATGATATATGATGCTAGCTGATGGTGGACTCCGAAGGTGGGTATAGGATCTTAGTGACGCGACTAGATAGGACGATCGTCTTTGAACTCATTTTAAAGGGCTCAGAAATACCTAGCTGAGTGTTATGATCTCACCTTTCTGATGCTGTAATACGAAGGTGGATATAGGATCTCAGTGACGCCACTGGATAGGACGATCGTGTTTAAACTCATTTGAAAGGGCAAATAATGACCTAGGTGACTATTATGATCTCACCTTTCTGATGGTTGCAATACGAAGGTAGATATAGGATCTCAGTGACGCTACTAGATAGGACAATCGTGTTTGACCTCATTTGAAAGGGCTCATAAAGACCTAGGTGAGTATTACGATCTCACCTTTCTGATGGTGCAATTTTAAGGTATGTATAGGATCTCAGTGATGGCACTTTTTATAGTTTTATTATTATTAATTTATAGGAGTCACGCAATTTTATCTGTGACACTTCTAAAAAATGTGTACCCCAAAAGGGGGAGAAAACACAAGAAAAATATTTTAAATATAGTAGAAAACTAAGCTAAATATAGTGTACCTATATGTGTTATGTACCGTAATACAATAGGAAAAAATTATTTTATAAAACTCAACACATTTGATTATCAAACAAATCAAATAATTATTTTGTTAATTCTAGACTTTTTTCTTTTTTTAAAGAGTGGAGTGGAGGCAGCTTACAAGCATAATTTGCACAAAGATAAACATCCAGACCCGGAATATTTATTTGCAGACCATACAAATATTTGTTCCGTGCGGGATTCATACCCGCGGCCCCCAGTGTGGCAAGTCAACGCTATGCCACTACGCCACGGAGCTTGTTTATTTTATCATTTTTGTACAATCTTATGCTAGGGCCACACTAACATAAAATGCCGTTAATAATCGCGTTTATGGACGTTGACTTTGATGTTGGTTATGGACGTTTAATGTAGGTGTAGCCACAACTTAACGCGTTAATTTGACAATGACGTTAACAATGCCGTTTGCCGTAGTAGTGGTACATAAAAGAGATTAACGTACGAAATAAAACGTTGAAGCGGCCACACTACGTTTGTCTGACTGTGCACGATGAGCGCAACAAGGTCGCACGTATGGCTATGATGGAGCGGAATAATAAAAAGTTATTACGTTTCTTAAGATTCTGCAAACAGAGCCATGTTTGTGGGATCCGAGACTCAAAAGTTTTAAGAATCGTACAGCGCAAAATGATGCTTTGCGCGGAATTATCCAATTATTAACTTTAAATACAACTATCGAAGAATCAGAAAGGCGAAGGAAAGCCTAATGGGTTTTTATAGAACCATTTTTAACAAAGCATGACTACATTAATGGTGCCCACACACGGTCAGCTAAAGTCATCAGTCGAACCGATATCAGTTCGAACAGATTTAAGCCAAAGAAATTTCCACATACACTTTCTAACTGATCAGTCCAAACTAGGACTGTGATATTTTTTAAAATATCGTATTTTTGATATATCGATGATTATAAATATATCAATGTTGGAGGTTGGAGCTCTATATATCGTAAGTGATTATACAGTAAGTCAATATCGGAGTTTTACAAATCGAAAAAAAATATCGATATATCGGCTTTATTTAAAAAACAACCGTAAGTCATTTTATTATTACATTTATTAAGCGAAGTTAATTATAAATGTATGAATATGTTAGATTACAGTTCCTATTAATTATTGTTTAATTTAAATAAGACGATTATGTGTACCAATACTTTTCCGTAAGAGTTTTCAAAAATAAGGAGTATTTTTTGTTCTGCTGTTAAATATGCATTTATATGTTCTGCTGTTAAATATGTTTAGAAGCTCAGGTGATACAGATGTAGTTAAAGAAATTAAATATTTAACAGCTATTTACATAGAACGGGAGTAAACTGTCTACCCAGTAGACAGTCGATGACGACATTAACTCAAGTTCATAAGACGGCTAACCGATCAAAATAACTTGTGGTTTATATAAACATCGAAGCACTTGTTTCGTCCTTTTCTCTAATAGTTTATATATCTATATTCACGCTACCTTTGGGAAAGAGGTAAGGGAAGTAAAGGATAGGGTTGCTCAACATGACAACCGCCTGTCGTAAGCTGAAACCCGAATCGACCAAGTGATCAAAGTGTTGGTTGACATTCCCAAGTTTGAGAGAATGGAATAACAGCTCCCGTGGTAGCTACAACACCTTCGCTACGTGGATTCAAAGTGCCGTCGTTCGTCGAGACTTCTTCCTGGTCCACCTACAAAATCCAGTTCGGGGCTGTCATGAAGGCGAACGTCTGAAATAAAAGTCAGGCCATGACTGCACTCACCCTAGGCCTGCGCGACAAAGTCTTAACTGTGTTGGAAGCTCTCGGTAAGAAAGTGACTTACGAGCAGCTCCTTGAGGTATTGGAGGTGAGATATGGAGACGCTCACCTGGAACACGTCTTTCATGCGCAGCTTAAAGATCGCATGCAACGCATCAACGAAAACCTGTAACAGTGGGCTTTTGAGGTGGTGAAGTTGGTTCGAAAGGCATACCGGTCTGTACCTGCGCTCATTGAAGGGAACCTGGTGCAGACATTCATCGACGGCATCCGCGACCTGGAAGTCAAAGCTGCTGTGAGGCTCGAGCACCTCGTGACGCTTAATCAAGCCTTGGTCCATGCACTGGAGGTTAAAGCCATGCGGCAGGATCATCGTTCCCATCGCATCAGGGAGGTTGCAGCAGCTACAGTTCGTGACTCCAATAGAGGGTACAGCGCTAGATTATACGGCTGTGGTGAAAAAGGCCATCTTCGAATCAGCTGCCCAAAGCGAAGTGTAGAAAGGCTAGATTATCGATCTCGAAAGGGTAGTGCGGCTAACAGCACCGCCCAGCAGCAGCATGATCATCGTTTTCCTCGCGTTAGGGGCGTTAGGCCCAAGGTGCTACGACTGTGAGGAAAGGGCCCACATTTGACCCAGCTGCCCTAAGCGATCTGTAAAAATGGAATATGATCCTGGATGGAAATTTTGTGTCATTATGGCACACACAAATCTAAATCTCCAACACTATTACATTTTACGCATAAATATAGGTTAAATAAATCAACATAGAAAAAGTTATGAGTGTAAGACGGATAAATTAATAGCGATGCTACCATATCGATATTTTATATCGATAGTTTCATATTTGCTAGTTGCACTCGAACAATTAAAATCATCTATTCAGTCGATCAGCGTAGCAAGTTTAAGTAGTAGGGTTACGTATTACTTACCACAACAAGGAACGCTCATAGTTTCGCCAGGTCTGTCAGTCTGTCCGTTTATCCGCGGCTTAGTGCAGAGACTATTGGTATTCTAAAGAGCTGTAATTTAGTATGATTAACCGTGAATATCAGAAATAAAAAAGCTCTAAGTACCAAAAATCAAAAAGTGGGGAAATTTATGTTTAAAATAAAAAGCCATTCATCACAAAAAAAATTATATTACTACAACGAAATGCTTTTGTAAAACAAAAATAAATATATATATAAAGGAATAAAATTATAAAAAATATACTTATTTATTTTAGGCTGATCTTAGTGATTGTACAACATCGTCTACTTTAAGAAGGTATTCAATGAACACAACATAGATTGTACATATTACCAACTTTTTGATCAAATGTTGGATTAAGGGCAGAATTAAAAACACGGCTAGTAACTCAAGCTTTCCATCTTTTAAAACAGGCATAGAAATAAAGGCGTTAACATGTGATTGTACAAAGACATCCAAAAACTCCAAAAATTACAGGAAGAAGTGTTATTTTATGTGGCTAATAAATTGAAAGCAAATCATATATACTTCAAAATGAAAATGATGAATGGACTTACGGCCTAACATTTTAGTAGAAGTGTAGCTGA